TTTGCACTCCCTGCAAGGACGGCATGATCACTAGGGTGATGGGGGCCAGCTCCATGATGGACTGCGTCAAGAAGGAAAGGACCAAGCAGGGTACACAGATCATCTGCTATTGAAATAAGGCAGGGAGGGGACTGGGGGGCCCTGAATTGAGGGCAAGGCATTACAGCGGGACCCCAGAGCAGCTGCCCCAAATATGTTGGCCACAGCAACTTCTACAGCCCTTGGAGGTCCGTTTTGGAGGCAGGTAGTTTTTGTTTCCTTCCATCACCATCCCCAAAGAGATTACAGCTGCCTCGCTGCTCCTCACACTAGGCTAATGCTGAACAACCTGATTGCTCTCTCCACCTTGGTGTCCCCAACTTGCCTTGAACTCTGACAACCTCACTGCTAGAAGTCCACTGCCCCAGTCCCTCTGGGGCTGGGGAGAATTAGCATGAGGATTATCTCCAGGGCCTTTAGCAGTGGGAATTCTCCCTTTGAGTCAGTCCCACCCGTTTCTCTCCCCTCAGCTGTCTCCGTCGTGCACAGGATCCCAGTCCTGCTTCTTATCATCTTGCCAGCATTACTAGTCATCAATTTTCTCTTCATCCTGTAAGTCTGATCTCCTTCTCCCAACATGGGACATTTTGGGGGCAGGTTATTGGTTTTGTGTCCCCCAGCTCTACATTCCTCCTTGGAACAGATGAAGGAAAACCTGAGCCCATCACTGTGACAGGAGGTGGCATGCCAGAATACGGGTGTAGGACACCAACAGCTGGGATAACCCTTGGCAGTAGCTTACTCAGCCATATAGGGAGTGGTTGGGTATGGCCCCTGGGGAATCCTGGCCCTGAGGGCTGGTGCTGGGTGGCTGCAGGGCTCTGGTGCTGGTTCCTGGCACTAAGTTCCCATTTTTCACTATGGGCTTCTGTCTCTCTGTAGCAGCTCTTGTTACTGGTTCTATCAAGAGTACCAGCTGTCATTTCCAAGGGCTTCCAAGATGACAGGAAGCACCAGGAAGATGGAGACGGTGACCAGTTTCTCCAGGATCCCCAGGCAGGGCCCCCAGGCTGGCCCTGATTCTGGACCTGCCAGTGACACCAGTCATCTGGACACCAGCACATCTCAGGGGGGTGATGAGGAGCACAGACATGGAGCACCATCCCCTGCCGTGACCTCGAATCTTGCTACTGTGACTCATGAGACAGCTCCTGTGCTGACACTGGGAGACAGAAAGGACACGTTTTGAGATTCCTTCTGTGTGCACAACAACATTGAGGGACAGCATCCCTCCAGCCACCACTGTCCCTTTTTTTTTGTGTTCCCACCACCTCACCCTGTCTGAAATACCCAGAAACGAAGAAGAGGGATACCCTTCTTCTCCTCTGTGAATTTTTCTTCCCAAATAGCCCTGACTCCCACCACTCTCTTTGCTAATAAACATTGGCTTCTATTTGCATCTCTCTGCAACACTGGATGCTCCAAACACAGCGGGATTTGGGGGTTACAAGGAGGGGACCTATCATACAGGTTGAACCAAGTGTTTGCCTTTAGTGGTGGAAGGCATCATTCCCAGTTGGTCTTGCACTAAGGAATGACTCCGTTTCCTTCCTATACCACCTTTTTATACACCCCTGATAAAGCAGCCCCTGGGAAGAGCTTAAGCCAGAGCATTTGCTGGGGTCCAGGTTATATAGGACAGGGCAGGATAAAGCTTAGCCTCAAACCTCTTCATTTTCAGAGCCTGGCCTTGCAATGCAAGGGACACAGGGCTTCAGGAAGGATTCCCATCTTCGTGGCCTCAAAGAAGAGATTAGCATCTATAGCTAAAACTTTCTTGAGCCCAGCGGCTGTTGGAGAGTCCAGGAGAGGGCAGCAATGCAGTGCGGGAGGCACCGCTCCAGCACGGAGCAGCCTGGGCAGGGAGTGGGTGATTTTTAGCAGAAATGGGTTCTGGATCCAAAATGCAAGAGAAAGGGCTGGCTCTCCTTCCTGGCATAAAAGAAGCAAACTCAGAGCAGGGGCATTGGTCCAGCTCCAGGTCTTGTGTTCAGTATGGCGGTTTCAGGGGCACTAAGTTGCCCCAAGACACTCAGCAGAAAGTGTGGACTGGCAACTGTTTGCTGAGGCCCAATGAAGGAAGAAACGGTGAGGAGCAGTCAACCCAAC